TTGAGAAGACGATCACTACGTGACAAAAGTTTTCAAAACCGTTTCTAGTCTTCGTATTCTTGTTTTTGGCGTGAGAATAGTTTGGGCAGCGTGAGAGCGTGAGATTGAGAGTGAAAGTGTGTGTCACACGCCAGATGCGTGAGAGTTGGCAACCCTGGTATTTTTTGTCCTCGGCCGCCCCGCCCCGTAGTTTCAGAGCGCATCGAGTTTAAAATACCATCTACAAGCTGATGCTGACAGCCCCGCTCCTGCCGCCCGCTTGTGGCAGACCACACTTCCACGCTCACCGGCAGGCCCGGACTGGCCATCTTGAGGACCGGGAGGGTGTGTGTATGTGTGGCGCGACTCGCGCGAGCGAGGCACACCTTACGTGTTGTTGTTGTTAGCATCTGGTGCTAGCTAGCTGCGCTAACGGATATAAGGAGCTGTTTCAATGACATTTCGCCGACAACTGCGCCGAGCACTTGACTTTATGCAGGTAGCCAGACAGTGGGACATTGTACGAAAAGTCAGCACACTCAGCACGGATAGTACGCGCAACGTGATTGCATATATGCCTTGAGCTGCACATAGCTCCAACGATCCATCACAGACACACACACACTGTATTATTGTATGAGAGAGGTTCCAGGTTGAATTGAGGCAAATATTTGTAATGTTCAGAGGTTGTTGTGTTTAATATTCATGAGAATAATTGTCATTGTTCAAATGATAATAAACAAGCATATAAAGCATATTTGTCCACTCATATGTTGATAAGAGTATTAAAAACTTGAAAAATATCCCTCTAAGGTACATTTAGAACAGATAAAAAATGTGCGATTAATTTGCGATTAATCGCGATTAACTATGGACAATCATGCGATTAATCGCGATTAAATATTTTAATCGACTGACAGCCCTAATAAATACATTATATTTGAGTCCATGATTTGTCTTTCAGCCAACTTAACATTTTAATTGTGAATAAAGTATTTAAATTATATTTAGTAAACTAAAATTTCACACCGAGGTTACTTAAAATAAATACTTTTTGTGAAACTGTAGTTTTAGGTTGTTAATGAGCAGTATCTTACTTTTGGGTAAAGCAAATAATTGGGTTGGAAAACTTGGAAAATGTAAGCTGGATTAATGCAAACTGTTGATTTGAAAGAAAACACATTTTTAATTACATCTGACTTAAATAATTTGTGTTAATATCATTTAAAAACCTTATTTGAGAAAACGTAATTAAATTGCGTGTTACCAATTGAAGTAATTCAATTAAGTTGGTTCAACTATTTTCTTTTTACAGTGTATGTCTTTCCTGCCTTGAGTGTGGGTCCTGCGGTGGGGGAATGGAGAGAGGAGGATGGTCTCCTGCTATCACTGGGGACTCTAACACCTGGAACGTTCAGCTCCTGCAATGGGAAGCACACTCTAAAAACAAATGCTTTGGCTCAACAAAGAAAATCAACGCAACAGTTTGCATCAATGTTTATTGAGTCATGACAACTTCTAATGAAATTGTGTTAAACCAACACACTTATTTTAGTTAGGGGAGAAGGCTTTTCCTCTACAATCAGAGGTGTTTTTAATGACCACTTACTAAATAATTGGTAGCATAAACACACGTTTTTAAGTTGATTACTCCAAAGATCAAGTTGTCCCAACTAGTTTTACCACATTATTTAAAAGGAATTTCAAGTTGTATGTACTTAATTACCCTCATTCGGGATACAAGTTTTTAAGTTGACAACCATTTATAAATTAAGTTGCTCCAAATATATTGTATTCAATAGTTGTTTTTTTTAGCTTTTTCATGTTTTTGCCTTTAAAGAAAGAAATTAATTAATTCCACAACAAAAATGTTAGGCAATTCACTAACACTCCAGTTGTTTATTTCAACACATGATATTTCAATCAGGAGAGACTTCATTTAGTTTGAACATTTATTGACACATGTCATGTGATAAATGTTAAGTCTTTGGCGATTGGACCCCGATCCTGAAATCGTATATCTAAAGGGGGAAATGCAGCCGTGAGCATATAGGGAACCCCCCCAGAGTCTATACACTGGTGATGATGCTGAAGATCTGGATTTGATGAGGAGATGGGATGAAGAGGAGGTGGATGGGGAGGAGGCGGGCGGCAGCATGAAATGATTCACTATTCCCTCTTCAGTTCTGTCCCAGCCTGTTTTTGGATATTAAACCCTTTTGCTACATAACTTCAGTCTCCTCTCGTAAGTGTTCAGTATTGTGGGTTCACTCCTGTAAGCGTTCGGAGAGCGTAACAGTCAGATCCTGGGGTGGACCGGTCACTGATGATGGCGATATTCATGTCCTTTTGAAGCACATTAAATAATAGGTTAGCGCATAAGAGATAATGAATTAGGTAATTGCATACTTTTTAAACTGTCACTCTTAGCGAATTCAGAGCCATTATTACCAGCTGCTAAAGCGACGCTGGTATTGTTTTCACCTATTGAGTCTGCATGTGAATGTGGTCCTGAAGACACACAGAGGTGGTTTTGAGTACTTTGCCTAGTGTTTAAATGCATGTGGACAGATTTTGTCAATCACAACCGCGCAAGTTTTAGTGTACCTTCTCATCTTTTTTGCAGGTTCCATACAATATTTGAACTGGTTAAGTGAAGAGCAGAAGCCACTTTTCAAATTTTACACAATCCTTTTCCCATGCCATTGCTGTCAACACCTATCCATGCTGAACATTGCTAAGATATTATTGATTGGGGTGTGGCCAAAAGTGCAATATTTCAAAATGTAACTGACAGAGAGCAGTGCTTTTGTCCTGTGTCACTCTGCCCATGGATTTTATTTTATTTCAAGATTTTTAATTACTTCGCTAAACTCCTTGAAAAGGTCCTCTTCCTTTTCTCCAAGGTACACGACAAGGCAGCAGATGGCTATAGTTCTCTGCGTACTTCAATTGTATTGTGCTATTTTTGAAAAAGGAACAAAAGAGAAATTACCTAAATTAATATATTCTGAATGGGTGACTGCCAACAACTTGCATTTCAATGACAACTCTAAATAACGATCCTACCTCAAGAAGCATGTCCTTGATCTGCTTCACCAAGAATTTTTTTTATTAAAAAGTTATATCACAATAGTAACCAAAGTATTTTTACACTCACAGTAGCCTCTACTACTTTGTACCCTCTCACAGAACTATTCACAGTTCAAAGGCTGCTAATTTTGGTCAAACAGCAATTTAGTGCAACTACAAAGCTATCTACTGCATTTGAATGACAAGAGATGACACTCACCTTAAAAATGTCCTTTATATAGTATTTCTATTTGTCTTAACTGTCGGAACTTGTCCAGGCATGTTAAGTGGGAGTGGACTTGAAATCCTTAACTCAAGGTGTAGAACAATTAAGTTATCAAGCCAATTGCATTACTTACTACAACTTGAATTTAGTTTTAAGTCAATTAACGCATAAATCCGAGTTTAAATTACACACAATATTAAGTTGATGTAATTACCAACATTATTACGTCAACACAACTTATAAATTAATGTTTGCAACTTAAAATGTTTATCTAAACAATTAATTCAAATTTGTATCTTGCAACCATGCATTTAATTAAGTGGTGGTAAAAGGTCCCCTGAATGACTTTTTAGAGTGCAGCTATACCTTAGCTGCGTAAAGGTGCTAAACCTCAGTTCTCTCGCAGGCGTCAGAGAGTCGAGGTGGACAGATGGTTTTTCCCCTCAGGGCAGCTGGCGGATCCTGTATAAATCTCCGGTTGAGAAACGGATGGCTGATATCCAATGGAGAATCATACATGGAGCAATAGCCACTAATAAATACAGAGCTCATTTTGACCCAGGCACAAGGGGGGGCTGTCCGTTCTGTTTTATGGCAGAAACATTGGAACATTTAGTGGTGTCCTGTCCCAGATTGGCTGGTCTTAAACATTTTTACAGGAGTGGGTGGAAGGGTTGGGGGAGGTTTTCTCCATACCACTTTTTGTCCATGGCCCCAAATACACACCGAAAAATAAGGAAACTCTACTACTGATACATTTCTTGTTTGCTAATGCAAAATTAGCAATCTGGAAAAGTGGAAAAAACCAACTTGCTGGAGTGGGATGGACGGATGCAGTGCTCTGTCTGAAGGGGCTGGTGGCAGCGCGTCTGAGGGTGGAGCATGCGTACTATACGCTGATCAATCATCTGCAGGGGTTTCTGGATGTGTGGGCTGTTGGGCAGGTTCTGTGCTCACTGGGGGAGAATGACTCTCTAATATTGAAGTTTTAAAGGATAGGTGTAGTTTTTGCTTTTAAAGTGTGTAAAGGAGGATGTTTTTAAATGGGTACAATGTTTCAAATGATATTTAATTGTAGTCATGGAAATCTGGTTATTTATTAATTGAAATGTATTGTTTTTTTTCCAACTCTTTTGCAAAATGTGTATAGTTAAAACAAATAAAGTGTTTTAAAAATCAAAACATCTTCTTCTTCTTCTACTTCTAATTCAATGTAACTGCCCGCGAAATATTGGAAAAAAGAAACTCGGCTCGTAGTGTCAACTAAATCCATAGTATTACAACAAAAGTGCTTTAAAGAGGTAATTTACGAATGTATGTTCTCAATCGCCAAGTGTGGGATTGAATATTAAATTAGTTTAGTTTAGATTCATTGTCCCCAGGGAGAAATTCATTTCCACAGCTTTGTGAAAACAATATGAAATCAACAAAAAATAAGACAGACATCTACAGATAGCACCACACATGATGGTTACTTGTTATTATTTAAGGCTGCCTGTATGGATCAGGTTTTTGCCAAAGCGAGCCCTTTTACTATAATAATAATATGTTTAAGCCGTGAGCTGTTCCCCTCTTAAGCCTCTTAGCGGCTGTAAATCTGCCCGCAGCCCGCAGCCTCAAGGCTCTGATCAGGATCATCTAATCCTCCGCGGAAGAGGTCAGCTATTCTTTGGCTCTCACAGGTTTGACACGCTGCCAGGCGTCCACAAACACGGAACCGACGGAAACCTTGGACAGCATGGAGGAGCTTCTTTTACCCAATGCGGAGGAGGAGGCGCGCTCCGACCACAGCACGTACGTTACGGGAGACGCGGGAAGGACGATGGGGGACCGGGTGAAGACTGGCCTCAAGAAACCGCTGAACCTCCTAAATGCCGTGAAGGATTTCCTGTTGAGGAACGGGCTGCTGACGCTGTCGGTGGTGGCCGTGGTCGGCGGCTGCACCATGGGCTTCCTGCTGAGGGGAACCCAGCTGTCCACACAGGTAGGACCGCAGGCTGGGCGGGAGCCGTGTCTGCACCTCCCTTATTAATATACATTTTTAATTTTAACTTTATATGGTTGTTCAATTATTTTTATTTTAAGTTTTATCACACAACATGAAGGTTTGACAGTGACTCCTTCTCAAAACCTGAACCCTTACATTTTTGTTTGCTTAAAGGTTGAGGTTGTTAAATAGTTTTTATTAACTCAAATTAGCTCGTTTTATTATAGAAGCAAGTTTCAGTAAGTCTGCAGTTTGTTAATAGCTACATTTTTTAAGACCGAGCTAAAAAGTATGCTTAGCAGCTGCACACTTTTAACCTTTAAATGAAGCAGCTGAAACTGCTAATGTGTGATTAGCTTCCCCGGTCCTGTTGCTACACTATGAGCTAATGCTTCGATGCTTTTGGTCAGGTTTCCCTGATGGATGACAATTAGTTTACTGGCTAAATAAAAAAAATTGGTTAGCAATTTAAACAGTTAATATTTAAAGTTGGCTTACTGCACATGTTAGTAGCTTAAACGGTTTAATTCAGGTTAGCTAAACGTTCAGTTTAATAAAATAAAATATTAACTTGTTTTTAGCTTAGAAGAACATAACATAACATAACCACAACTTTATATTTCTTAACAGATTTTTTTTGTGTAAATTGTCCAGTCAAGCTCAAGCCTAAGCAGGGATCTAAATATGAAAAGGGGGGCTTTGTAAATGTTCTAAAATGCATTCAGCATGTTTTTCAGAGCTCAAGGATTCACACAATGAGTATAAATATAAAGTCCTCTTTAAATTCACCCACTGCTTCTCTGATATCCCACATGTTGTTGGAGAGCATTACGACGTCACCTTGTACTTACCATTTGGCTTTTGATAAAAAGAAATGAATAATAATTGCAATAGAAAAACAAGTTGTGTGATAAGACGACGTGTAGTTGCGGCTCTAAAACCAGTACAAAAAAATCAAGTAATGATACATTTAACAGACTTTCTATATTAATATAATAAGATTAAACTTTATTGTCATTGCGCAGAGTACAAGTACAAGACAACAATAAGCAGTAAGCATCTAACCAGAAGTACAAAAGAAGCAGTAAATTGCAATGATGTCTAGTATCATATAAATATATATACATTGACAGATATTAACAAACTGAAGTATTTACACAGAGTATAGGTATACACATTATAATCAGCAGTATAGAAATGTAATACACTTTAAAACAGGTATAAATAAAGACAGTATAAAGTGCTTATGTGTTTTAATTTTGTGTTTTTACTTATGTTCTTTTAAAGTCATCAACCTGCAAGAGACTGCAGATGAAAATTAGCCTCTATGGCTAAATCTGGCACATTTACACTTCTTAAATAAATACATTCAAATTCTATAGACAGAATAGCATAGAAAATATTGCTGTTTGGACAGTTTTATAAAAACAGATAATAGGTACAACTCATGTGCAAAAGACTAGTCCTTTAAATAGCATACAATGTATTATAACTGCAAGTTATAAATAGTGCAGTTTCACTGGGAACTGTCTTTCCAGGAACAATGTATCTGTCTCAGCAGCGGCTGTGTAGAGACACAAACATGGAGGTCACATGATCACTTAGAGTCTAAGGCAGTGATACAAATCTGATTTGCGGTATAGGTTGCAGCACGGCCATTCTCCTTTTCACTTTGGAAATGAATTCATTCACAATTGAATTTACTACAGCTGTACTTTGAAAGTAAATTAGGTGCCAGGGTGTAAAAACAATCCAAACAGAGGAATATAGCTCGTTTATCAACAACAAAAATAAGTGGCACAGGAGGATCCCCTAAAGAATCCAATATGCGTTCATTAACTGGCCCCAGCCTCCTGTCATTTTGCAAACGTGGTCCCAGTTCAACAAGTTGAGAGTCCCTGGTCCCTGCTGGACAACATTTCATTTCAAATGTGAATCTGTTTTGGAGGAGCTTCCTGAAAGCTATTTTCGGTTTATGTGGAGGTCACATGCTTTGATCCAGAGTCTTTAGAAAAAGCACCAAATCAGAGCTTTCTTTAAAACATGATATTATGTTTCAGAGGTAGAAGAAGTACTATTATATTATTATTATATAGTACTGTTCATGCTCACTGCTTGTAGCACTTCGGGATTTGAATTCGAATATGAAGTGCTTTATAAATGGAACCCATTATTATTATTATTATTATTATTATTATTATTATTATTATTACTAAGATATTTTACATTCGTTAGGCATTACTAGAAACCTCAAACCATATTCACAACTTCTGATGCTCAACTACAATTGTTTACCACATGAATAACTCGTTTTGTAACGTCTTCTTCTGGATCTCTCTCTGTATGAAGCCAGTTGATTCTATTTTATATACGGTACTACTTTTCATTTTCATTTTATTTTTAATTGTTAATTCTCTATTCCACTTTTTAAGTATTTGTATTTTAATGTCTGAACACACTTCTTCGGTAATGAAAGAATTTCCCAAATTGGGATCAATAAAGTATATATATATCATCTATATAAAGAAATATGATGTGCAGTCATGTGAGGGGAGTTGTGAAATCACAATCTTAATCTTTGTGTTAATATTTGTACAAGAATGTGAGAATTTATTCAAAATACTAAACATAAATGTTTTTTATTAATGAGTGAAAAATAACTGATCTCTTAATTCGCTGTGGTCATGTGACTTCCTCTAAACTCCTAAGATGGGCAGTGTGCGGATCTGTGTGTAGCTCCAGGGTTTTATTCAGGGTGCAGGCTCTGAGGGACCCCCACAGCCTGCAGGACCCCCGTCATGAGTCAATATACCCCACCAACAACAACATTTAAATTCAGTTCTTATTTTATTTAAAGGCCTATGATGTAAATAAATAGCTATTCATGTTTTTCTTTTATATTTTTAATATGGCTTTGGTGCTTTATATATATACGTTGAACAATCCTTTGAGTCTGAAATATAAAGAGCTATATTCAGAAACTGTGTCCATGAGAACAGTTATGTGTTTGTGAGCATCTGCTGTTACTGCGCAGCACAGATTGATCTGTTGGAAGCTGCATCACAGGCGGGAGAGATATCACTCTATGAAGCACGCTACTGTATTTATTATTCAACAAGCATTGACAAAAAGCATGCTTTGATTTAGAAATGTTTGATGGTGATGTGTTTGATCATGACAGGCGAAGATCTACTTCTCTTTTCCTGGAGAGCTGCTGATGAGGATGCTGAAGATGCTCATCCTTCCTCTCATCACATCCAGGTAGCTTCGAATATATTACTCACACACCAGTACACATATTATATTGTTGAAATAGTAATGGAAAAAAAGATAAGGGAGACAAATCTTAGGAGAAAAGTCTTGAGAGTAAAAAGAACATGGACATTTCACTTTCCACTACTGATGAGGTTTCCAGACTGTTCTGTGCTCCAGTAGCCCTTCGTCAGACCCTTTCACAGATGGGATAGATAACATTTAGCCAAAGAGAAAACACAGAGTGTCTGCAGAGATGTAATGAACTGAAAAAGAGCTTTACACACAGTAAATGTTACCAAAGTGTACTGATTTATAGACGTTTCTTAAGGCCCGGACACACCAAGCCGATTTTGGCCGTCGATGGGCGTCAGGCCGTCGATGAGCGCCGACACGCCCTACTCAGATTGGTGTGTCCCGCACCGTTGTGTCTTTTCAGCCGTGCCGACACCTTTTCGGCCGAAAACCAGTCGGCCAAAGGCTGTCGGCCAAAGGCAGTCGGCCAAAGAAATCACTCTGATTGGCTGTTCAGCTTAGCGAATCAGTGCATGAGAAGCGAAACGGAAGTGAGGGACCCAAACAAAATGTATTTAATTTAAATTTCATTTAACTCCAGCTCTCGACACAGGTTGGGGAAAGCCCCATGAGCTTCTCGCTGTAGAGTGAAAATGGAACGCACACGCTATTTGTTGTTTGTTTGTATCACGCAGTCTGTTCTTCTTCTCTCTGTGTATCACGCAGTCTGTCTTCCATTTGTTGCCTCTTTTGAATGACGAATACACACTACCGCCGCCTGCTGGTAAGGAGAGTTATTGCCACTCACGCATGCGCAGTTCGTACGTGCTTCTTGGCCGTCGGCTGAAGTCTTTGCGGTGTGTTCCAGTGCGACACATGGCCGAGACGCAGAGACGCGAGGTGACGCAACAGTCAGGGTCCGTCTGTGTCAGTTCTTTGTTGTCAGCTTGGTGTGTCCGGGCCTTTATACACGTACACAAATATTTATTAAGGCCATTTAAACACATCTATTCGTAGGAGAGCGTTTATTTTTACATGTTTAACATTATTGTGTTACTTTTGCACATCTGCTGCAAGTATTTTGATGTCTGAGCATTGTTCCTCCACAGGGTTAGGGTCCGGGTTAGGGTTAACCCTAACAGCCCTCATTTGAATTTAACATATAAATAAAACAATAAAACATCAAATAAAGGTATTTGTGCTGCTTATCTGAATAAACCTCCAACCTGTTTCCTTCACCTGGGAACTACAACACCACATACTCAGAAAGTTAAGGAGTTTCAAGGTCAGGACGATACCAAAGTGTTGTTGCATTGGACATGTTATAATGTTCACCTTGGTGCTAGATTCCAGGTCAGGAGAATCCCCAATAATCCAATAGTCCCCCCTGCTTACAGTCTTTGTGCTACACTATCTCTGTCCTGCAGATGAAAGCAACACATGTTCCTTTAAATCAGGGGTCTCCAACCTTTTTTAGGATGAGAGCTACTTTCAAAAAATAAAACAAGTCGGGAGCTACTTTTACTCCTCTTTTTATTGTTTTTTGCAGTGTATATATTTAGCACATTTAACACATTCACTGCTTTATTTCGGGTGGACCTCACCTCCTCTAGGGGGGTCCTCACCTCCTCTAGGGGGGTCCTCACCTCCTCTAGGGGGGTCCGGGGGCATGCACCCCCGGGAAGATGTTTTTTTAAATGTTGAAGTGAAATGCATCAATCTGGTGCACTTTGAGCACAACATGAATTGATGGATACATCTCTCAGATGAAAGGGAGCTGTATACTTTTCAATAATCCAAACATCTTTAGTTCATTCTTATCTTATGTTACCTAGTTAGCATTCTTTCTTTTTATGTATGCATGTTTTACTAATCACTCCCCTTTTAAATACAATATAGTACACATTGGAATGATTTCTTACTTTATTTGTTACAACTATATTAAATAGATAAAGGTGTGCTCTCTCTCTCCCCCTCTCTCTCTCTGTCTTTCTCTCTCTCTCTCTCTGTCTCTCTCTCTGTCTCTCTCGCTCACAGAGACTGTGTGCTCCTCCGTGGCGATGACGGCTTGCGTTAAAAAAATAAAATAAACATATTTGTAAAGTGGGGGGACACAAACGGAATTTCGAAAAGTGGGGGGGACTGTCCCCAGTGGAAATTACGCCATGCGTGTGTGTGCGTCAAGTGCAATAAATATGCAAGTTGCAACACACACACAGTAAAGCTCTGCCCCTCATGTGTTGTATAGGCTGGCATGAGGCTGTTCAATGGGGCTGATGTGTTGTGTAGATTCTGCCAGAAGGAAAGGTTAAACTCCTTATGAAGTGATGAGGTGCCGCTCCACATTGCTTTTCTTCCAGACTGCAACGCTGGTCCCGCAAATCAAGCAAGAACGTGATTGGTCGATATTCATTGTGGGGGGTGGGGGGAGGAGGGGTGTTAGATAGATATAGAGTTGTAGTAAGTAGATAAAGTTCGCTATGATTGAGGTTTCGTTTATGCATAGGGTAGATTCATTTAATTACATTTCCTTTATTTTTGGTGTATTTTTTACATTTTGGACTTGCTTGGCGAGCTACTTATTGAGGGATTGCGAGCTACCGGTAGCTCGCGATCGACGTGTTGGAGACCCCTGCTTTAAATCAACATGTATGTGTCTGTCTTTCTGTGTGTGTGTCTGTCTGTCTGTCTGTCTGTCTGTCTGTCTGTGTCTGTCTGTCTCTCTCTCTCTGCCTGTCTGTCTCTCTCTCTCTGCCTGTCTGTCTGTCTGTCTGTCTGTCTGTCTGTCTGTCTGTCTGTCTGTCTGTCTGTCTGTGTCTGTCTCTCTCTCTCTCTGCCTGTCTGTCTGTCTGTCTGTCTGTCTGTCTGTCTGTCTGTCTGTCTGTCTGTCTGTCTGTCTGTCTGTCTCTCTCTGTCTGTCTGTCTGTCTGTCTGTCAGTTTGATGTCAGGTCTCTCCTCCATGGAGTCCAAGGCGTGCTGCAGGATGGGGGTCCTGACGGTCACCTACTACCTGTGGACCACCTTCATCGCCGTGGTGGTCGGCATCGTGCTCGTCATCATCATCAAACCCGGCGTGGGAACGGACATGGAGAGCCACCGGCTGGGGGGAGGGCCCGTGATGACCTCGGCCGACGCCTTGATCGACCTCATCCGGTGAGAAGGGTCAGAGGTCAAAGGAGGATGTAAAACATTCTCTCGTTATGTTTTGGTATATGCTAACAGATAAGAGCTACAGAGTGGGGAAGTTCAATCAGGTCACAAGTTGTTACTCTATATGCTGATGGATCCTAACCCTAACCCTTTTTCTGGAAAATGAGTACTCCTACTTTCAATACTAGAACATTTTGCTGACAATACTTCTGTACTTTTGAGGGAGATATTGAATGTAGGACTTTAATTTGCAATGGAGCATTTTCACACCAATGTCTCGGTACTTTTACTTTAGTTAAGGAATCTAAATACTTCGTCCATCCGTGGTTTTGATAGTAGTTTGAATTCGGTCTCAGATATGTTCCTTTGTCATTTTGATGGAATGGGACACAAAGTTGTTGTTGTTGAAAGATTGACTGGAAAGGTTTTATTTAGCTTCTTGCGGCTGACATGTATTGTGAGAAAACAAGTCATGTCAGATATTCTTATTGATCCAAAGAGGATTTTAAATACAGTATACTGTTTTGTCAATGCTTCTTTACATTAATATAAAATAATCATGAAAATGTGTTCATGTTGACATATATAAAATGTATGATAAAAAAAATATATAGGATTGTGTTTTTGAGATAGAACAGTATCATAAAGGAGCAAATAAAAAAAAGTGAATGCATATTCCAAAATGTTAGAAATCACTATATGTTTATTGTGCAAGTAGACATCGCGATGACAAATACAAAAAGGAAGTATTGTGCACCCTTTGTTGTTTTTCACTGCAAAGCTCGAGAGGAGGTTTAGTTCACTTGGATCATTAGTTGTTGATTATATAAGTCAATGATGGTGCCACAAACTGCCAATCATTCTCAAAATGTCTCAGACATTTTATTATCTTAATAAGCAGAATCTCTTTGTGTTTTTAGCCCGTTGGTCCGACAAAACAAGACATTTGAAGACTTCACTCTTACAAATAGTAGAAAGCACACCAACACACATCAATCCGATTACAGCTAGGGCTGATTAGTGTATTTTTAGTAATCCTGCGGGGATGAGTGACAGATTAGTCGAGTCAGCAGTGGTGCATTGCAATGATCTCTGCTGCGGCATGTTGGCCGACTCTTGGCCGAGTCTTCATCCTGCTGAAGGTCAGCTGATCGTAACACTGGTCCTCCCTGATTAGTTTGAGTGTTTTTCATTTTTCAAAGTCATTGTTGCTCATCTGTGGTAGAGGTGTAGAAGGCAGTCAGTAGTGCAAAATATAAAGCAGCTTCTTTCTTAGTCTCCAGTCATATATTCTTTGTATGAAAGGTAAATAACAATCCATGTGTCTTGGTTACTCAACAGGAACATGGTTCCCTCTAATCTGATTGAGGCCACGTTTCAGCAGGTAACACAACCCCCAGAACTCAGAATTAAAGTGCAATACCTTTTACACTTGCTGTGACTAACCCTACTGTGTTCCTTCAGTACAAAACGGACCTGATTCCCATCCTCAAAGTCCCAACCAGAACCGTGCAGCCCAACTTCGTCTACGTCTTCCCAGATGAGAATGACCCTAAAGGTCGGACAGTGTACCTTGAGCTGACCCCGCCTCCAGATGTCACGTACAAAACGAGTCCTGGCACCAGCCAACAGATGAACGTCCTGGGCATCGTCATCTTCTCCGCCACCATGGGTGAGCAGACTGAAGCAGAAAACTATGTTATTAAGTCCTGAGGTTTTCTGCTCTTCAGTTTTTATGATTCAGTTTTCTGTCATTTATCATTGGTGTGAAACATATCAGATGTTTAAGTTCTTTAATTGAACTTTCTTCACATTAATGTTTAAAAGTTTGAGCTGTTACATTGATTGGCAGGAATAAAAACTCTATTTCCCCAAAAAATAACAGTCAAAAGATTCAAACCATTTAGTCTTTGTCCTCACGGTGTTGCATGATTTCACTCCAAACACAATTCTTTCTACAACCATAAAGCATTTCATTCCATTTGAGGGCGTTTTGGCATTAGTTTAGACAATTTATCTTCGTTTTTTAACCCATAAACCCTTGGATTCCTAGTTTACATTTATCATCCTGCACAACTTAGAGTGCAGTTGGTTCTCCCTATAAAGATGTGTAAACGGTATGTTGCAGGCTTGTTGCTGGGCAGGATGGGGGAGCGAGGAGCTCCACTGGTCAACGTCTGCCAGTGTATCAACGAGTGTGTCATGAAGATCATCAACGCTGCTGTGTGGTGAGAAGAATACTTTGAACGTACGCACTACGCACAGTACTTACAGAATCTGTGACACAGAGGAGGGCTTCTGCCAATCTGACCTAGTGACTGGTCGGGGGGGAAAGCGTGCAGGTGGTGACAACTTACTGCTGTGGCACCTGAGCAGATTAAAAACATCCGCAGAGCCCACAAAGCTCAACGACCTGAATACTGAACAGACAGACACACTTCCTATATTTGTGTCACTTCTAAGCTACAGTACAGTCACTGCAAATATTCAGCTTCGCATGCTGAACGCTTTGCTCTCTGATTTGGAGGTGGAGGTGATATTATTAGGGTTGATTGGGCCACTGCACCAGCAGGAAATAGATGAATACATTTATACATATTTTTCAGAATGTTGGCTTTTGGTAACCATGGTAACACTTGCACTGATACAACAGGAAGTATAATTTGGTCAATCATCATGAAGTGAATTGTAGTGACCATTCGGTAAGAACATATTTTTTTGTAGTTTAGTAATGGCAATGAAAATCTCAAGTCCCAGGCTCCTCCAACAATGCAACATAGGACATCAAACAATAACAAAATAGTGCAAGAAGAAATGGAGCAGAATAGATTAGAATAAAAAAGTGCAGATTATGTTGCAGACCAATGATCCTCCTGTTAGGCCAAGATGTGTCTTTTTGGCATTGTTTCAGATGTGAAAGCATCTTTTAAATAAGAAACATTATTCAAAATATTAATTATAGTTTGTTATTTAAATGTTTTTAGTTAGTATTTGTTTAATAACGGTCCCACTGCAGACACCCAACCAAGCCAAAGCCTGTTGACCTTGCTGCAATCTGACAGGAGAAACAGAAGAAGAAGAAGAAGAAGAAGAAGAAGAAGAAGAAGAAGAAGAAGAAGATTGAACTTATTGTCATTACGTAGTACAGCTTCGAGATTTGTCTTGGCAGATGAGAAGCGCTACATCAATTAAATGTATTTTATTATTACAGGTACTATGTAACGAAACGGTTTCTCTGCATTTGACCCATCCTAGTGTTAGGAGCAGTGGGCTGCCATTATGTACGGCGCCCGGGGAAGCATCGTGGTATCCTAGACTAGCTTTCTTGAATCTGACCTGGTGGTCAGGTGGGAAGGTGGGCAGGTGGGCAGGTTCACTTCAGTTTAGTTTTGTTCAGTTCAGTTTAGTTCAGTTTAGTTTAGTTTAGTTTAGTTTAGTTCAGTTAGTTCAGTTTAGTTCAGTTTAGTTCTGTTTAGTTTAGTTTAATCTTTTGCTCCTAAACACTTTGCTCTTTGATTTGAAGGTTTGTTGGAGGCTGTTAGCTGATGAGAATAAACGGCTGTAGTTGTAAAGCTGATGAAACATATTTCAGTAATAACAGAACAGTTAAGAGAATATTTATTGAGATTCGGTCTTCTTGTTTCACTACATCCAATAGTAATTAAAACGGACTTACAAGCTTAAACATGATATAAATACAGTGCTAGACTTTTATATAGATGTGAAGACACATTTCTGCAAAGTATAGGATTCTAAAATTCAATTTCTTATTTTTTTTGATAAATTATTCATTTATTTGTCAATTTAGAACACAGGGTTGCACAATGAAATTTACATTTTATTCTCATTTGAATTGGAATAGAAAAAAAACTTATATAGTGACTAATAGACACAATCTTATATAGTTACACACCGAGAGTGGTTGTTTGTTTACACACACACACACACACACACACACACACACACACAGAGAAACAGAGGGGGGGAGGAGTGAGTGCAGGCTAGGCAGAGGCAGAGGGCCTGACTAGTTATCCTAACATCAGAATGATCGCCGTGACCCACACTTAGCCCATGCAGTCATGTATATGTTTATATATCAAATCTGAGATACTCATGATCCCGCGAGGATGATTGCTTGATGACTTCACCATCAATCCAGAATTTCTACTTGAATTAAGTAATAGATAAATGTCATTGCTATAAAATTAACACCATGTATTCCTGCTCCCCAGAGGATAACCTCTTTGGATGTAAATGAGTCCATGTTGTTTTCTTTAGTGTCACCTTCTGGACAACTGTACACGGTTAGCTTCACCACTGTAAAGAGTCTAACTGATAAATCATCAGTGTTTTGTTTGCTTCAGGTACTTCCCATTTGGAATCGTCTTCCTGGTGGCGGGTAAGATCCTGGACATGCAAGACCCAAGCACGCTGGGGAAGAAGCTGGGCTGGTATGGCATCACCGTGCTCGCTGGCCTCTTTGTCCATGGACTTATCCTCCTCCCTTTCTTCTACTTTGTCCTCACCAAGAAGAACCCCTTTACCTACATCCGCGGGCTGCTGCAGGCCATGGTGATCGCCCTGGCAACCTCCTCCAGGTCAGAGTCAAGGACAGCCCTGCTTTACCTGCCGGTCTGTGGATGTTTTCAAGGTTGTCATTAAATGTCGTATCTTCTCAGCTCTGCCACGCTTCCAATCACCATGAAGTGTTTGTTGGAAAACTGCCATGTGGACCGACAAATTGCTCGCTTCGTCCTACCCGTGGGGGCTACAATCAACATGGATGGGACGGCACTGTACGAGGCTGTGGCGGCCATCTTCATTGCTCAGGTTAATGACTATGAGCTGGACTTCGGCCAGTTGGTCACCATCAGGTAAACCAACCATGGGCGTCGCAGCCATTATATGAGGGTGGGACAAGTCCCCCCCACCTTTTAAAATGATTAGTTTAGACCCCCCCCACTTTTACTATGTGGAAAGTCCGTGAATCGGTCTATCCACTCGCCACTCTCTGTAGAGCGCTGTGTCAGTGCTTCATTATCAAATCCATTCCACTTGCTTATTGTGAGAATGCCCAAATCAATGAAACTCCGTCCCATGTTTTCACTGCTACTTTGTACCAAGGCAGATTCTCAGAGCCGTACACATGAGCCGCACACATGCTGCATTTTTTGTGTAGCTGTGTCTTTAGTTGTAAAATAATGCGCGCCACAGTTTCCCCGCTGCGAGGCTCCGGCGCTAACAGTTCACTAGCGTGCTCCACTAGCACCCGGATATAAGGCGCTGTTATTAAAGAGGTGGAGGGAGAGTCCTCTCCTGTCAGACTGAGAGGCTGATAACTGCAGCTCAGTGAGGTAAAGGACTCTCTGAGGGTTTAGATAGTTCACTTTAGTCTAAGTAGTGGGTCTCAAACGGTTTGGTAATCATTTATGTAAATAAGTATTTCCAAGGCACACCTTTATATGATCATTATAGTTATAAAAAACAAGAGAATAACGGGTATGAAATAATTCCAACTCATACTATAGGACAGTAACACAAAAATACAGTTTAAAAGGGGAGTGATTTGTAAAATATGCATAAAGAAAAAGTAAATCTGTTTCATATGGGTGTTGAGAGATGTATCCATAGATCTCCTAATGTTGCTCTCAAAGTGCACCAGATTGATGCTTTTAACTTCAATATTTTAAAAAAAAATCTTCCCGGGGGAGCATGCCCCCCGGACCCCCCTAGAGGAGGTGAGTTCCACCATCCGCCCATACCCCCTGTCAAATTGTCCCACCCACATTGAGGATGCTTCCTACGCCCATGAAACCAACAGACATTGTTTGTCTGAGAAACTTGAAGAACTTGTTTAGACTTCATTTCCCAAATGGAAAGAATCTATAACAAATGGACACACTATGTGAATGTTTTTAATTATATGTCTACTGCAAGAGATTCCCACTATAACTTATACTTTACTTTGTATGCATAGCACAAATCATGCTTCAGTCCTAAAAAATTTCCAACAATGGTTCCATAAGCTGATGATACAGTGATGTATGTGATTGTACAGCAAATCGATACAATGCAACAAAAATGTGATACTCAGTAAGGACTTTAAGTTGTGAAAAGGCCAATACATTTAGTTTAACCTGTTACGCACCGCCCCCCCGGTACCGGGCGGATAAACGCGTCATTTGCAGGAAACAACGTCTAAGGAATCTTAATATTTAATAAACTATGAATGTTTTATATCCATGTAACGGGAAGAAACTCAGCTAACTGATCTTTTTAATTTTTTTTCTCCAAAAAAACCCCACAATGCCAACACTCAGCCTCTGACTTAGCCACGAGCGAAAAAATGTAACCTAAAACTGCACCTAAACTCACTCATAACTCCCTTATTACTTATCCTAGATGCACAGCCAACCCCTCGTTTTGCATCTCCTGGAGACACTGAATCTGGGGGTGCCCACCTCAGCACTCAGTGATAAACATTTGCGACGCTATAAACGAAAGCGTACATCATAACATGTGGAGCTAGGTAGCTAGAAACGCTAACATGGCTTACCTTGGTCAAAACTGGTCTTCAATGGCATTAAAACGATAAAAAAACGATGCTGCAGTTAATCCATAGGTTCATCCAATGTGTCTGTGTCCTCTTTGAAATGATTTCTGATAATCCATAAGCAATAAAACTGCTTTTTCGTTTCCAAATGTCAGAGCGAGAGATCGGTCCAAAATGACATGCGCGAAGCCTCCACCTCTTCTCTTCACAACGTGTGTGTGTGGGGGCCTCCCCCTTCGATTCTATTGGCTCTAACGGTCAGAAAGAGGTGTCAACCATCCAAATCGACCAAGGGGGGCCAGAGATATGGAAAAAAAAAACATTTTCACCCAAATCACCTCAGAGGTGGGGTGGTTTTGGCTAAACCTCTCTAAAAAGGTCAAATGTCACTTGTTTTGCATCAATCTTGATACAGGGTACTTATTATATGTTGTACTTTGGATTCCTAAAGCTTTTAGTCTACTAACCCATCATCCAAGGGTAGTTTTCACTATCTGTAAAAAATAATTTTTGGACGGACACTATAATTTACAGTTTTTTACTATGTAAAATCTGAATTTTCTTTAAAATAAATAACATCTATATTGATTCTGACACTTCTACATCCAACTCACAGATGTAACCTTGCTTTGATAAAAGAAAGTATTCATATAACCCTTTTAGAAGTTAAGTTGTAGTCATTTGTTTTGGGCATGTCATTTTCGAGCCTGAAACATGAAAAACAGGCTTGGTGCTTAACAGGTTAAATAAATATATCATGTTAAATTTGACTCTTACTTCTGTTGTCCTCATGCAGCATCACGGCCACAGCTGCCAGCATCGGTGCAGCAGGGATCCCTCAGGCTGGTCTGGTTACCATGGTGATTGTACTGACATCAGTAGGCCTGCCCCCAGATGACATCACACTCATCGTGGCCATCGACTGGATTCTGTGAGTTTACAGTACTGGTTATGTAGAAAGGTCTCTGTCTCAGCATTTCAGTATTATTAACGGTACATTGTAGAATAGAGTCAAAAAAATGTCCATTACTGCTCTGAGACTCTCGTCCAGAGTAGTTTAGGTTTCACAGTGTCTCCCTTTAATCACACCTGTTTCTACAGTGACAGGTTTCGAACCATGATCAACGTTCTGGGCGACGCTCTGGCAGCGGGAATCATCGCCCACCTCTGTCGGAAAGATTTCCCCCTCAGTGGAGCAGGAAAGGTAAAAAATAAAACACCATCTGTAATTTTATCTATGAAAATCTTACTCTGTGTATGTTGGCTATTAACTTAATCTTACTATTCTGACTTAATCTTACTTTTCTGACCTTTTAAAGTAATGTATTAAATATTTTTAGACGTTTTACCTTTAAAGCTCACCTATTATACTGTATTTGAACAATATATTATAGGGCCATATCTATACAAAACATGTCTCTATAGTGTTTTGCTCAAAATAACAAACAGATCACCCATTGTAGCATGCCTCATACCCCTCTATTTCAGCGCTGTTACTAAGATTCTGGGTCTGGCCCTTTAAATGTAACCAAGCTGTTGCTGGCCACGCCCCCTTGGAGCTGCTGCTGGCCACGCCCCTTTGGAGCGTCCGCATGCAAGCAGTGAGCTCTGTGAAGAGAAGGCTGTCTACCAGCAGAAACTCAGCTAAACGCTTCCGTGATTAAACGCCATATCATGTTCCAAACCACATCAAGCATTATTTCTGAAACAGTATGGAGCTCAAACGCTTTCTCTCTCGCGGGTTTACCACAAGGTCAGTACCTTTTACATCTGGCTTCTTTACACATACTCTCTCCAGTACAGCGTTAGCTCTGAGTGTTAGCGATGCTTGCTAATGTAAACACAGACCATATTACTTCCAAAACACGTCGCGCATTGTTTCTGATAGAGGACGATAGGTTGGGTGGGCGGGACGTTGCCAGGAGTTCAACGTAAAGCCCGCCCACATTTTAGTAATGTCGTCATGACCGCAGCAAATCTGGATCAGCCCCGTTTTTAGAGATTTGGGTAAGGTGGAAAAGAGAGAGGGTTGTATTTTTGGAAACTTTGTGAGTCTCCTTACACACCGGGGACACATATTTATTTATAAAAGACATCAAAAAGTGCATAATAGGTGACCTTTAACTTAAATAACAACAGAAAAATGTTGCTCTTTTGGAGGCAACTAAAAATCCCAAATCAAATATCACTCTCTATAACTTCTGATTGGAAACACAAACCTGTCGATTACAACTCTGAGCTTTAACTGGATTTATACCTGTTGGGTTACAAACAGTTACATCAGTGTTTTCTCAGCCACACAGATTAGATCCCTTACTCTTATCTTAAATCCTTGTTAGACTTTGTCAAGCTCCACCCACTCTGCTTCACTCTTTTGTTGGGCAGAAAAAGTTCATTCATAACCAACTGAGAACTAAGAATTCATTAAGTCACAGAACTGTTTATTACTGTATAAACTCACAAAGTGAGTTAGCTCATCTGTTATACTATTAATGTAGCCCCTAGCCAAAGGAATGCAATTTGAGGCAAAAATAATAATGTAGCGGTTTGCCTGTATCTGTCCAATCTACCAACACCTCTAATGCTCAGCAATCTCTTGTTCTAGCCTGAATCATACAGACATTTTCTCTATAACAGATAGTTTCCCCCTTTATTTAGAAAAATAAATGTCACACAACCTTCATTTCACAAAATGTCTCGGCACAAACACGTTCTCAAACAAGAAGGCTGAGCCAGTAGTTGGCAATAAAGTCTACAATGAAAACACCAGAGTAGAACATATGTACAAATAGCATGTTTACTTTCCTTTGGCAGCAGTAAATTCAAATACAAACAATAGTAGCAAATGTATATTTTATGTATACTAACCTATTTCCTCACCTTTATCATGGAGCCCATTCCGACTGGATGGGACATGTGTGTGTATCACATCCTTTCTGGCACATTGACCTGTGTGCTATGGCAACAAATGTGTCCATCATTGTTGTTGTTTCAGACATATGCTTTAAAAAAAATGTCTTGATCACTTCACAGTTTGCATCTAATGTCTAAATGTAATGTGTTTTTTCTTCAGGCTGGGCCATCTTATGGTACGCAGAATCCTCACGCTCATAACAGTGTAGAAGTGCCAATGACAGAGATCCACACACACAAAGACTGTATGTTTGATACGACGGGCGACTCAGTCGGCGAGAGGCACGCACACACCGTTTACTATAACATCTGTCAGGTGTGATTGGAGACGCACCGAGTTAAATTTCACTGTGCCATCTGAACAGGAGACGGACTTTGTTGTTACAGAGCATGATACCTCTTCTTCTGAGCAGCCCCAACTGCTTTGAATTTAATTTAGGTGACAGGAAATGTTGTTTATTTGGCCAAAAGTGGATTGGAGCGTCATTTGGAGCTTTTTCCCTAATGACAGTGAGAACAAAAGCTCCACTACAAGAACCATGGTGCCATTTTAATGGAAACTAGCCATCAGCACTAACTGGCAAACTAGCCTGAATTTAAAAAGTGGTGGGATTGATATATATCAAGAAGAGAAATCCAGCAAATTGTCTGGTTCCTTTTGAAGAACAGCTGAACAGGAGCCTGATCTGCATCAGAGACACAGCCCTCCTGGGAGCACCTACACACTCATCCTCAGGTCTGACAGCTCCACGTAGCAGCTGGACACGCTGCAGTTAACCTTCTGAACTGGTTTCAAACCTTAATGGCTCTTGGGTACTGCCAGAAATGTGACGTACTATCACTTTCAGGTCAGTTTAGTTATTAGTTTAACACAAAATGAAGATGGAATGCCAGTTCCACACCTTGAAGTGATCTAAAGAAGGAGATGGCTGATACAAGCTGCCAAAATAAGTTTCCATCACAGGGTCACTCGTCCCAGCTAATAAGGGTTTCACAACAACATTATTGAAAGCACTTCATCTGTGCAAAGTAATCCACAGAATGAAGCTTATAACGTTATTGTACAAATCCACATACTATTATGTGAAGGACTGCAGAGGGTCATCTTACTTGGGGTCAAAAAAAAACTTTGATACAGCTTTTTCCTGCTTGTCATCTCTACTCAGACTTTAAAGCCAGAACAAATCCACTTCTATGTTGAGAGAGTGATAGTTTAAGACAACATGTTAGATCACATTGGATGTAATTTAAAATACTCGCAGGTTGACCAAAAGAGAAAGCTAAACAGCTTGGACCCCTCTCCTAGAACTTTTGTTTGTGTTTTATCTCGAATCATCTCTGTCTTTCCTACATCCCTTTGACTTTTCTGTGTGTTTGACTGGCTGGTGCTCACTGCTGCCTGTTTAGACTGGTTGTGTGTTAAAGGGTAATCTGTTCATTCTGACAGCCCAATGGATCCAAGTGCTCTTCATCTTACAAATCAAGCTTGTTCTTCTTCCGTCTTGTTTTTATTGACAGCATGCTGGCATGCGCTCTTACTGGCTTCACTTGAAGCCGCTGTGCATTATCTTTTTCTCCTGTTTTTAATCAAAGTGCTGTAGGGATTATGGGACTTGGTACCAAAGTCAGTTGCATCTAACCGAGGCTAGTTTGTGTTCAGTTACTACTTAACTACTTAAATGTGTGTATTACCTCAAATTGTTTACTTACATCTGAGATTGTGAGTGACTTCTGGCAATGTGTTTGACAAACACCAGTGGTTCCTAGAAGGTAAGAAAAAGGTGTAAAAACTCAAATTTAAAAAGCTGGTCAGGGGAAATTAAGTTATGTTATAAATAAATGACTTGTAGTTATGTCGATAAATCATACCATTTTTTTAAACATTTTTTATAAAGTGCTCCTTTAACCGTTAAGTAGCTGTGTTGTTTATGTAGAACAATGAAAACGTAGACCTGCCTTAATGTAACCGTTGACATTCTGTCATTTGATTCCACATACCTCAATGTTTCTCTGCCAATGCACACGGACTAACTGCAAAATGTTCAACTATTACAAAAGCACAGTTTTCATCGAATTGCATCGTGTACATACTTTATTTGTTTTTTATATGATATGTGTTTTTGGACTTTGGGTAATTGCTGTTTGTTTATATTCAAAAATAAATATACTGATACCAATACAGTTAATTCTCTCTTACATACAGTGAAAGTGACTTAAGGCCCAGACACTCCAAACCGACACCAACGAACTATCAGAATGAAAGGTTCACTGTTGAGTCCCATCATGTGCCTGTGTAGGGGCCAAAACCTTTCTCCTAAAATAGAGTGTCTTCAGGTGGGATTCAACATTGTTCCCATTTAACTTGCATCATTGAAGCTGAAGTTGACTGAATTTGAGAATTTGCATATTCTCAAATTAAAATGCTGACCTCGAAAAAACTGAATGCTCAGCACTCCAAAAAATAGAGATTCCTGCTTGATTGCACGCAATCAAGCAGGATGTTTAGGGTTCCGTTTATTTGTATTTACGCGTTCCTTTCTTGTTATTCTATGTGGAGTTGTTGTTGTTACACCTTTATATTTTTCAGGGCTATTTCTGTCAAGCTTCTATCAGCAACTTTTCTTGTGATAACATATAAATAGAGGCCATTCTCTGGTACAAAGGGGCTTCTGATTGGTCGAAAGTGATGTTTTTGTCTTTTGTTGGATCTTTCTTCTCTTTTGACTCCTGGAAAGAGAGAGACACGGATTTATTAAATGCTGGAGTGTTACTTTAAGGGAAAAATCTGAGGTTTCATGAAGTTGCGGGCTTTGTTGGAGTCAGATGAGAAGATCAATCAGTCTCACAAACAGAGCTGGAGGCAGGGTGTGGTTCACATCACAAAAAGACGAGAAGCAAGGAGAAATGAGCAGCTAAGCAGCTTTTTCCACAACTCCAAAATACACTTACCAACACCTCTAATACCCTATTAACTCCTTGTAGCTCATTTGAATAATATGTACAACATAAATGTCTAAACGTTGTGTGCAAGATTTGACTGCTCATTTCATGACCCCCTTTTTGTCTCCTTGTCCCCATGCTTAAGCAGTGAACTTTGTTAGTGCAATGTTGGAATTACTGATGGAAATATAATAGAAAGACAAATATAAATAATAATAAACCAGAATTTCCTATAATCTATTCCACATTGAGGGAAAAAAAACCTTCTAACATATTTTCACTTCACGACTGCTTTACTGCTGATATTTATAAAGCACTCACAGAACTTATTAATTTTCATTACATGTCACTTGTTAGACGCTTTTATCCAAAGCGACTTACATACTCAATACTGTGGGCAATCCCCTCGGGAGCAATTTGGGCTGAAGTGTCACACAACGACATGCTGACTGCAGTGGGGTTTGAACCTGTGACCCCCTGATCCGAACACCAACGCACAACTCACTGCACCACACGCCTCCCTAGGGCTATTAATCTAGTAAAGCCAGCGTGAGCCGCACAGGACTGAAACCCTGAGGGACACGCAGCCTCAGGTAACGTGCTAATCCTCCACCACAGATTAAAGTCACAATGACCATTTAATGAGTGACGGAGGAACAACAGGGAGTGACCTGGTTTGCTGAGGGGTCCTCTAGCTTTGGATGCTGGTAGTTTCTCCCTTCAACTGCATTTTGACTTCAAAATAAGATGATGCAAAATATATTTTAGATTAGTGTTGATTTAATAAAAAACACTGGTCCTTGTTGCAGCTAGGACAACACAACGGAGCAGAGTCTCTGCAGGTTCAGAAAAGGAATTCTTAATTGTATTTGCTTAGGGTGCTAGTCTCAAGGTGTGTAGGGTACTACAAAACCCCAGTAAAATGATCCAGTTCCTTTTACTAAAAGAAAAGTTGGTTATTATGGGAAATACACCCATTCTCTTCTCTGACGCGGGATAGATGAGAAGTTTGAAACCAGTCTCATTCATTTATGTTAAATATGAAGCTGTAGCTGGTTGGCCTAGCTTGGTCTATATCTGTCTGTCCGACAGCAACATGGAACCTTTATTGTTAAGAAATACAGTCAAATCACTGAGAGTCTGAGGAATAACTACATCAAGCTTTATTCTCACAATGATTAATACACATGTACATTTATATACATACAAAATACACAGTGATTTAAATGTTTTGTACTGGGTGTGCATTTTGAATAATCTACAATGAACAGCTTTTCATAATATACAAATATTTCTAATACTTTTCACATTATGTTGATAACAAAACTGACTTTCTCTTTGAATCACTTACTTGTATATAAGAAAGGTGACCTGAAGTGGTTTGACATGAGGTAGTAGTTCAATTTCCAACAAGGCATGGAAGCTGTTCACTGGGAGAGCCTCTGACACTCTCCTAAAATGACAAACTAGATAATCACAGTGGAAATATCAGATATTTTTCCATCCCATCACTCAGAATTACATTCATCATTGAAGTCTGCAAAAGCGGGATACCAGTAGCTGTCCTTTCTTTCTGACCTCCTTCTGGGTGCATCTTCGTTCTTTAGTTGTTGGACTTTCTTTATCCAGGAGATTTGACCTGCAGCCAAGCCGATCATGCAGACCTGCCGGAAAAAACAAAGACAGTTTAGAATCTGATCTTCTATCTTAAGTCCCTGTGTCCATTTTCCGGCAGATAGGCTTCCCCTCCAATTTGTACAGTGACGGCCCGCTGCAATTCTGAATAGCTTCACTATTTTCAACTCTCGCTCGGAGTGGCCGCACAAAAAGGCAGAAAGTTCAGAAAAAAGACGCAGAGCACTGCAATCTTTCTTGAGGATGCCGCAAGCTACGGCAAACGCTCTGTTCTCATTGGATTCAATTGAAAAAGACGCTGGCGCTCAGAAAAAGCCTGATGTGGACACAGGTCCTAATTGTTTGGATTTTCTGTCATTACCTGAGGATTCATGGCAGATGACAGGTCCCCTATTAACATGTGATTTCATATTGTTCCCTCCAGGAAAAACATAATTCGAGAGTTCATATTTGGATGTTGGTTGGGTTCTGATGGTAGGAAAAATGTTGGTTCTTGATTCATTCTAGAAATAATGCAGTGTTCTCATTTGTGGATAAGTGACTTGCGCAAAGGCCAAAAAAAGTGACCTCTCCTGTATCTGTTCTGTTCTGTCTAACCATCACACCTCCATCAACTCCTTCAGATCTTTTCTTGGAGAATTTCCTCCTATGATCTTAAAGGCAAGGCCACATGTCGTTCAACAACATTGGAGGGCAGAAGTGTTCTGAATGGCAACACTTGAGGAGGAGGAAAAGCCAGTTGTCAGAGAGAGGGGGGGGATGTTCTTTCATTTAAATATACTTCATTATCTCCTGGAAGATATCCACAGTTCTGCACTTGGTAGCCTACCACTAACAGTTGTGGAATTAATGAAAAACCTGATTTAGAATATCATACCCTGCTCACTTTTTTACTTCCACACAGCTGACTGATCACTGCGTCAAGTGTGTGCTGGATTTTGGCTTGGACAGCAAAATAAATGGTCACAGCCATCCTGATTCCGACATTGGAAATAATTGGTGGGAAGGGGTTTCTGTATGCTCAGCTCTCTCCTCTACTCCCTGTACACACACGACTGCTGACGAAACAACCGTCATCGGCCTGATCACCGACGGCGACGAGACGGCGTACAGAAAGGAGGTCGAAACCCTGACATCTTGGTGCCAGGAGAACAACCTCCATCTCAACGTCAGCAAAACCAAGGAGCTGATTGTGAATTACAGGAAGCAGCAGAGAGAGGGACACGCCCCCATCGCCATCAATGGAACTACATGGAGAGAGTCAGTAGCTTCAGGTTCCTCTGTGTCCACATCACTGAGGACCTGACATGGACTCTTCACACCACCACCATCACCAAGAAAGCTCGACAGCGGCTCTTCTTCCTCCGCAGGCTGAGGAGGTTCAATATGGACTCCAGGATACTCTGCAACTTCTACAGGTGCACCATAGAGAGCATCCTGACCTTCTACAGGTGCACCATAGAGAGGATCCTGACCTTCTACAGGTGCACCATAGAGAGCATCCTGACCTTCTACAGGTGCACCATAGAGAGGATCCTGACCCTCTACAGGTGCACCATAGAGAGGATCCTGACCTTCTACAGGTGCACCATAGAGAGCATCCTGACCTTCTACAGGTGCACCATAGAGAGCATCCTGACCTTCTACAGGTGCACCATAGAGAGCATCCTGACCTCCTACAGGTGCACCATAGAGAGGATCCTGACCTTCTACAGGTGCACCATAGAGAGCATCCTGACCTCCTACAGGTGCACCATAGAGAGCATCCTGACCTTCTACAGGTGCACCATAGAGAGCATCCTGACCTTCTACAGGTGCACCATAGAGAGCATCCTGACCTCCTACAGGTGCACCATAGAGAGCATCCTGACCTTCTACAGGTGCACCATAGAGAGCATCCTGACCTTCCACAGGTGCACCTAATGGCGCATTTCCACTACTCGGCCTCGCTCGGTATGGCTAGGCCTCGTTAGGACTGGCTCACTTTATGGCGCATTTCCATTACAGTTTAGGAACTGGGGCAGTATCTATAGTAACGCAGTGTAGGCGGAGCCGTGACGGCATCTTCAATGAGAACCCCAGAAAAACAACACAGCCGTTAGCTGTTAGCACTCAGAGCTCACAGCTCCTCATATATGTTCAGAAACTAGACAAAAGTTAAACAAGTACAAACCACAGACTGTCTGTGTCATGGTGTATACAGTCGCTGCTTTATTTATGTCTGTATAGGCCGTTGTTGTGAGTGTGGACGGTCGGAGCATATACTGCGTTCGCTTAGCCAATCTCCATTTAGAAAACACGCATTTTAAAAGGTTTTTCGCCTGCCGTCTGTCTGCAGACGTGTCAAAGCATTAATTCATGGTTTTTACTAACCGGTATCAGTATGTTGTTACTTCGGCATCATTTTGAAACGTGTATTACAATTAAATCACGGTCAAATATGTCCATCTTGTTGTAGTTGTAGCCCCCTTGCCGGCGATTCTCTCTCTAGTTTAGCATACTCAGCCCGACTCAGCCTCGTTGTCTCTGGCCCTAGACCCACGATTTTATGAGGCCAGAAAAACTGTGAATTAGGACCCGCCGGCCAGTACTAGGCCAAGTGGAAACGCAACCAAAAACGGGCCGCTGACGTCACAGCCCTCTTAAACCGTGCTCCGCGCTGTAGTGGAAACGCGCCAATAGAGAGCATCCTGACCTTCTACAGGTGCACCATAGAGAGCATCCTGACCTTCTACAGGTGCACCATAGAGAGCATCCTGACCTTCTACAGGTGCACCATAGAGAGCATCCTGACCTTCTACAGGTGCACCATAGAGAGCATCCTGACCTTCTACAGGTGCACCATAGAGAGGATCTATGTATCTATTTGTATGTATATAAATGTACATGTGTATTAATCATTGTGAGAATAAAGCTTGATGTAGTTATTCCTCTCCTGTATCTGTTCTGTTCTGTCTAACCATCACACCTCCATCAACTCCTTCAGATTTTTTCTTGGAGAATTTCCTCCTATGATCTTAAAGGCAAGGCCACATGTCGTTCAACAACATTGGAGGGCAGAAGTGTTCTGAATGGCAACACTTGAGGAGGAGGAAAAGCCAGTTGTCAGAGAGAGGGGGGGGATGTTCTTTCATTTAAATATACTTCATTATCTCCTGGAAGATATCCACAGTTCTGCACTTGGTAGCCTACCACTAACAGTTGTGGAATTAATGAAAAACCTGATTTAGAATATCATACCCTGCTCACTTTTTTACTTCCACACAGCTGACTGATCACTGCGTCAAGTGTGTGCGAATGTTGGATTTTGGCTTGGACAGCAAAATAAATGGTCACAGCCATCCTGATTCCGACATTGGAAATAATTGGTGGGAAGGGGTTTCTGTATGCTCAGCTCTCTCCTCTACTCCCTGTACACACACGACTGCTGACGAAACAACCGTCATCGGCCTGATCACCGACGGCGACGAGACGGCGTACAGAAAGGAGGTCGAAACCCTGACATCTTGGTGCCAGGAGAACAACCTCCATCTCAACGTCAGCAAAACCAAGGAGCTGATTGTGGATTACAGGAAGCAGCAGAGAGAGGGACACGCCCCCATCGCCATCAATGGAACTACATGGAGAGAGTCAGTAGCTTCAGGTTCCTCTGTGTCCACATCACTGAGGACCTGACATGGACTCTTCACACCACCACCATCACCAAGAAAGCTCGACAGCGGCTCTTCTTCCTCCGCAGGCTGAGGAGGTTCAATATGGACTCCAGGATACTCTGCAACTTCTACAGGTGCACCATAGAGAGCATCCTGACCTTCTACAGGTGCACCATAGAGAGGATCCTGACCTTCTACAGGTGCACCATAGAGAGGATCCTGACCTTCTACAGGTGCACCATAGAGAGCATCCTGACCTTCTACAGGTGCACCATAGAGAGGATCCTGACCCTCTACAGGTGCACCATAGAGAGGATCCTGACCTTCTACAGGTGCACCATAGAGAGCATCCTGACCTTCTACAGGTGCACCATAGAGAGCATCCTGACCTTCTACAGGTGCACCATAGAGAGCATCCTGACCTCCTACAGGTGCACCATAGAGAGGATCCTGACCTTCTACAGGTGCACCATAGAGAGCATCCTGACCTCCTACAGGTGCACCATAGAGAGCATCCTGACCTTCTACAGGTGCACCATAGAGAGCATCCTGACCTTCTACAGGTGCACCATAGAGAGCATCCTGACCTCCTACAGGTGCACCATAGAGAGCATCCTGACCTTCTACAGGTGCACCATAGAGAGCATCCTGACCTTCCACAGGTGCACCTAATGGCGCATTTCCACTACTCGGCCTCGCTCGGTATGGCTAGGCCTCGTTAGGACTGGCTCACTTTATGGCGCATTTCCATTACAGTTTAGGAACTGGGGCAGTATCTATAGTAACGCAGTGTAGGCGGAGCCGTGACGGCATCTTCAATGAGAACCCCAGAAAAACAACACAGCCGTTAGCTGTTAGCACTCAGAGCTCACAGCTCCTCATATATGTTCAGAAACTAGACAAAAGTTAAACAAGTACAAACCACAGACTGTCTGTGTCATGGTGTATACAGTCGCTGCTTTATTTATGTCTGTATAGGCCGTTGTTGTGAGTGTGGACGGTCGGAGCATATACTGCGTTAGCTTAGCCAATCTCCATTTAGAAAACACGCATTTTAAAAGGTTTTTCGCCTGCCGTCTGTCTGCAGACGTGTCAAAGCATTAATTCATGGTTTTTACTAACCGGTATCAGTATGTTGTTACTTCGGCATCATTTTGAAACGTGTATTACAATTAAATCACGGTCAAATATGTCCATCTTGTTGTAGTTGTAGCCCCCTTGCCAGCGATTCTCTCTCTAGTTTAGCATACTCAGCCCGACTCAGCCTCGTTGTCTCTGGCCCTAGACCCACGATTTTATGAGGCCAGAAAAACTGTGAATTAGGACCCGCCGGCCGGTACTAGGCCAAGTGGAAACGCAACCAAAAACGGGCCGCTGACGTCACAGCCCTCTTAAACCGTGCTCCGCGCTGTAGTGGAAACGCGCCAATAGAGAGCATCCTGACCTTCTACAGGTGCACCATAGAGAGCATCCTGACCTTCTACAGGTGCACCATAGAGAGCATCCTGACCTTCTACAGGTGCAGCATAGAGAGCATCCTGACCTTCTACAGGTGCACCATAGAGAGGATCCTGACCTTCTACAGGTGCAGCATAGAGAGCATCCTGACCTTCTACAGGTGCACCATAGAGAGGATCCTGACCTTCTACAGGTGCACCATAGAGAGCATCCTGACCTTCTACAGGTGCAGCATAGAGAGCATCCTGACCTTCTACAGGTGCACCATAGAGAGGATCCTGACCTTCTAAAGGTGCACCATAGAGAGGATCCTGATCTTCTACAGGTGCACCATAGAGAGTATCCTGACCTTTTACAGGTGCACCATAGAGAGTATCCTGACCTTCTACAGGTGCACCATAGAGAGGATCCTGACCTTCTACAGGTGCACCATAGAGAGGATCCTGATCTTCTACAGGTGCACCATAGAGAGGATCCTGACTGGCTGCATCACGGGTACGGCAGCTGCACCGCCCTCAACCGTAAGACTCTACAGAGGGTGGTGAAAACTGCACAGCACATCACCAGGACGGAGCTGCCATCCATGGAGGACCTTTACTCCCAGCGGCTCAGGAAGAAAGCCCTCAGGATTATCAAAGACCCGCATCACCCCAGCCACAAACTGTTCAGGACTATCAGACTAAAAACACCAGACTGCAGATGTACCACAATCCTAGTTTTTCCTAGACTACATAATTACACGTAGTCGTGTGCTATGACAATAAACATCTGAATCTTCAATCTTTAAATAAAGACATTTGTTTACATGACTTCTGATGTCACAGAAAAATAAAGACTTGAAGTTTGTGAACTGGAGCTCCACCGGTGTTACCTCGAGCAGCAGCAGGCCAGCCGTCAGACCGGCCACCAGCAGCAGATTAGTTTTGGCCCACAGCGCGATCCCCTGCAAGCAGCCGATGGTGAAGACATCCTGACCGGCTGAAGACTCCTCCAGCTGCTGCACCCCATAACCACACATAGTGTTCAGCACCGTCTGCAGGAGGGAATAACACACACTTTGGATTTGAGAGGGTTGTTTAAGGTATTTGACATTTATTTATATATTTCAAGCTTGTTATGCAAGCTTGAAATATTTTTCTTATCAACTAAGATTTGTTAGAAAATGTTTTCAACTTTAGTTGGCAGAATTTATTTTAAATTGGGCTTATTAACACATGAGTACTGTGTAATATATTTTTACATATTTAAGAAGCACAATATAAGACTCAGTATCTAAGTACTAAGTATCATGTATGGGCCATATTCCATTGTACTTTTAGAATTAGCTGCGGGCCAATAAAAAATGGACCACGGGCCGTACAGACCTTTTTTTATTATGATTTTTGGTTGCAGGAGCTGACGAAAATGAAAATGAGCCAAACTCCAGGCATGAAAACGTCCCTTTGTGAACCTGTCGGGGACCGTACAGACAGACAGTGGTAATGACCTGGTTCTGTAAACCAACGCAGCAGGAGAAGGGAACTCCACAGGCCTCCAGACTAGGGTTTGTGTCCAAACACTCAAAGTAGACGTTACGAGACCAGTCCTTGTAGCTCTCAACTCCACAGCAACGAAACTGCAAACACATCAAACTCTTTCTACCAGGAAACAGATGTAAAGACCTCACGATGCTTCTCAGTCATTCATCCTTCCTTACCTTCTTCTGGATAAAGTTAATGGCGTTCTCCAGGTCCCGGTCCTCCCTGTAACGGACGATGGCCTTCATCATCAGCCTCTCCGTCCTCTCCATCACCTGAACATTAACATCAAGTTACTTAAGTAAATCCATGGATATCTATAATCAGATTCTGCACATGAATGCAGAATCTGTACTAAACTTTGTTTTCCATTGCGGACTGAAATCATTGTTTTCAAACATTATTCTCAGTTCTGTGAGAAAAAAAACCTACAGAAAAGTCTACGGATTGCTAGTTGTGATATCTTATTATTATATTATATTTTTTGTCCAATCAGAGCAGTGTTATATTAAATCAGAGCAGTGTTATATTAAATCAGAGCAGTGTTACATTCAATCAGAGCAGTGTTATATTCAATCAGAGCAGTGTTATATTCAATCAGAGCAGTGTTATATTAAATCAGAGCAGTGGTATATTAAATCAGAGTAGTGGTATATTAAATCAGAGCAGTGTTATATTCAATCAGAGCAGTGTTATATTCAATCAGAGCAGTGTTATATTAAATCAGAGCAGTGGTATATTAAATCAGAGTAGTGGTATATTAAATCAGAGCAGTGTTATATTCAATCAGAGCAGTGTTATATTCAATCAGAGCAGTGTTATATTAAATCAGAGCAGTGGTATATTAAATCAGAGTAGTGGTATATTCAATCAGAGTCGTGGTATATTAAATCAGAGTAGTGGTATATTAAATCAGAGCAGTGTTATATTCAATCAGAGCAGTGTTATATTCAATCAGAGCAGTGTTATATTAAATCAGAGCAGTGGTATATTAAATCAGAGTAGTGGTATATTCAATCAGAGTCGTGGTATATTAAATCAGAGCAGTGTTATATTCAATCAGAGCAGTGTTATATTAAATCAGAGCAGTGTTATATTAAAATCAGATTAGTGTTATATATTACCATGTCAGTGAAGAGGTATCCGACCACCCCAGCAGCGATCTGCAGGAGCAGGACAGCTACCAGGATCCCAAGAAACTACCGGAACAAAGAAGAGATGACCTGGACAGTAACAACTCAGCAGCACTGACTTGCAGAATAAACATCACAATAATCAAACGTTGACATATGACACTGAAACGTGTTAGCTGATCAATCTTACCATCTTCAGAAGGCAGGTGGTGTTACGCAGCGCTCCAAAACACCCGAGGAACGTGATGAGAAACATCGCCGAGCCAACAACGATCAACAGCAGAGCTGGATCTAATGTCAGGGTGTCAACCACATCTACACACACACACACACACACACACACACACACACACACACACACACACACACACACACACACACACACACACACTTAATTTTTTTCAATCCCACGTAACAGTGAGTAACGGTTAAAACATGTCTGATTAACTTTTCTGGCTCAGCCTCAGGAATGTTTTCAGCATCATAGTTTTGTAACCTTGAACACACACACTCTGAAAAGACAAAGAAACAAACACATATATTAAAGACTTATTCCTTCTGTATGCAATGAAGTCAGTGTCCTGAAAGCCCACCTTCATTTGTTATCTAAGATGTCTTTTCACTGATCCAAAAGTAAACAGGGGGCAAAGATCATTATCAAACCACGGTTCACAAAAGTGTTTTTACCTTTGTGAACCGTCACACTTTGTAAAATGGGGTTTGGCATTAAAGACGACCCAGGTTTGTAAGATAAGGGTAAGGTTATCAGTTATTTCTGTTACAAATAGTACCATTTATGAATTTTTACTGACCTTTCTCCTTGGCGATCTTGCCGTAGATTCCAACTGCTGTGAGGATGGCACTCACCACCTGCAGTCACAGAGAGAGAGAGATGAAGTTTAACCAGGAGAGGTGACTCACATGAAGCACAGAAAACATGTCAATTAGACAGACTTGAAGTTATTTGAGGCAGATGTGTTTTTCTTTTGATTTATCTAACAGTCTTTGTGCTAAGCTAAGCTAAACACGTTGTTGACATATTTCTGTATTGGACAGGTGGTAGTCTGAAAAAAAGTCTGAGTTTACTGTGCCACCTCATTAAGTCTCCATCCACCTGTATTGCGTTGACTCACTCCCTCACTATGTTGCAACACATTAGTTCTATTTCTATTTTTTATTTTGTATTTCAACTTTTTCCGGGGCAAAATTGGCTTCCATACTAATATCACTGTATGCCAAAACATTAACATGTTGCTCTATTGTATCTAAACCAGGTCAAAAGAACAGTCTCCACATACTTTTGGCAAAAGCAAAGCGAAGTATTTTCACTGTCAGAGGAAATCTGCATTTTTCAGGTCGTCCTTTACCTATGATGTGTGTTGAAACCATACTGTACAGCAGGTTTAAGAGAAAGAAACCACACTAACAAACTTACAAAGTGTTATTTTGAATTCTCAAACTGTCCCCAACAGAGAAACTCACCCAGAAGACGTAGCAGCAGATGAATAAAGTGTACTTGATGCCTCTGTATCCTCTCATTTCCTCTCAGAAGGTCTCTGTTTTGCCAGACTGCGCTGAAAGTCTGTTAAAGAGGCTTGTTATCTGGCGGCAGAAGACGTGTGTTGGCCTGCAGGACACATTCCTGCTGTCAGCTTCATCCCCTCCACTGCTGTCATCCTGCCATCACACTGAGGAGGAAGAGGTGGGAGTCTGTTGGCGTTACGTCACAACTGTTGCTTCAACAAAAAAACGTTCCTTTAATCCAGATTTTTTTATTTCAATTGACATGATTTATGAGAACAGTTCATTTTCTGCTTGGATTAAAGCATTACACAAGTTGGGATGACACAATAAAGAACAAGGGCTTTATTTTCATTGTGGTTCCTTAACATTCTTGAGTTCTCTTACCTTAGAGGCTGCAATGTATTATCTGCATGCATATTAATATTAGCCTTGAGTTCCTTAAAGTGTTCAGTACAGTGCCTCTTCTATGGAACGGCCGATTGCTTTGCCTCAGGTTTAGCTTCTTATCCAAACTACACACTCAACAACACTGTTTACCCAGCATGCCAATTCGGGGGTTTAACCAGTGGCGAGCCGTCAGGGCCCTCAAGGCCCTCTGTGAGGGCCTAAGATATTCCAAAAAATAATATTTAAAAACATAAAAAAAAATATATATATAAATATATATTTTTTTAATATTATTTTTGTTATATTTTTCATTAGTTTTACCGAAAAAAAACTTGATTTAATTGTATTTAAAATAACATTTCCAAAGAAATAAATCCTTCGAATCTGCCTGTTCATTCTCTGTTTGAATGTAGGGGTTACATGAAAGAAGCTCACCTGTCCCTCTCTGCGATTCACAGAGGGCCCGCTATAGTAACTGAACGAGAGAGTAATGTCAAATGACAGTACAATTGACCAATCATATCTTCCCTCTAAATGGGTGGGTTTTATTATCGCGGACATTATGACAAGTTCCGCCCGCTGTGAAACTTTTCTTGTTTCCATAGCAACAACAACTTCCTGTCAACAGCGTGAACTCGCCTTCAAAATAAAAGCATGCCAAATTACACTTAAGACATACAACGGCAACGAAAGTAACAAACACAATGCAATATCATTTTCAATGTCAAAGAACACAAATTGGGTTCACAGGTGTTGTTTTGTGTGGTAGAGGGTCGCTGTCATTGATGCGTTTTGCACCCTGGGCCGTTGTTTTGATATTCCGCTGAAGTATACGCTGTGACGTAATAACTATTTTTTTTTCTTTTTTCGAGGGAAGGGGTGGGGGTTAGAGGGCCTAGGTATAAAGCTCACGGCTCGCCACTGGGTTTAACAATTACCAGCAAGCCCCTCTTTATATACTACAGAGCATGTCTCACTATTAAAAAATGTACAGTACATTTTAAGAGCTGAAATTTGACACAGCAATTCCTCTGCTGATCAGTAATACACGGGTAAGAGGTCGATAGTATTCATGGTTGTGGAACAAATCTAATGGTTCTTTTTTTTAACACATTGATTCACCTCAGTAAAAGCACAAAGGTATTATCAGAAAAATAAACTAAAGTGTCACAAGTACCCTTCCTTCCTCCATTTCTCATGTAGTACTTATGGTAGGACATTATTATATTGTTGATAATGTTGCATCATGTAGCAATTTACGGATGTAAACAGACAAAGTTGTGATGCACAAAGAATTTATGTTTGAATATCTTTCTTAACTTTTTTTGATATATTTGATGGTTTAAACGTTTGTATCTAATACAGCTTTAATCTTTAGTCATGCATTTTGTAAGCAAAATCAATTTTTCTTAATCTGAAAAGTGGATGAAAAATACATCCCGTAGATGTGCTGGGGCGCATCATCAGTGATGTGACCTGGGGTTAATGGGGGTTTTGGGTCCTTCAACATCAGACACCTTGCCCAGGCCCCCCAGCCTGGGGTTGATCAGAGTCTGCCCTCTTGCTCCAAAGCCACATAGAGTGAACACTTTGCAGGGTGACGTCTGCGGTCAGCCAGTTTTTCAACCGAGCCTTCTGCTATCATCAACAGGCTCATGGTATACAAAAACAGTGTCATCTGCATACATATCAATATTAACCTTGAGTTGTATTACATGTGAGAACAAGCCTTCAGTCTGAAAAGTTTCCCCTCAATGTTGCATTGTTCTGTCATCTCACAATATGACCACATCTCAATGATTGATCTATTCATAGAGTCTCACAGCAGAGCTAAGCAGTGCCATTTGTCCTGAGGGTGGCACTAGAGGAAAGGTGAGGTGGTACCTCCCTCCTCCCCCCTCCTCTCCTCATAAAGCAGATTGTAGCTGTTGGAGGATTACCTGCACTCTGCTGTGTTTTACTCTCTCCCACAGGTCACCTTTCTCCAATTTCTCTGGTATTTAAGGACCTGTTTAAGGACCATGGGTCTGCTGGACATCGTCTCGTCCATCAAAAACCGAGTGGATAAGTTTATGTCTGAGAAAAACATGGTGACAGACTTTTTGGGGACGTTGGAGGAGAAAACAGGGATAAGGAAGAAGATCATTGTAGTGGGTATGTGAATTGTGTTTGTCTGTTCTTGTTCACTCTGACTAATCATGAAGACTTTACTTGTGTTTCTATATGTTTCTCTACTTTTATTGAGAACATTTGTGCCTTCCTGTTACATGTCAGAGGATTCAGTTAATCCTCCTGTGATCATTTAGCTACAGTGAACAGCTGCTATCTGTAGACATGCACATGTAAATACGCTGGAAGTTTTCTTGGTCAACATTTGTGCTGCAGCAGATAAAGTTCAAATGTTGTTACTATCAATATTTTATATTTGGGATCAAATAGGGGAATTTGATTAACACAGCAAGCACAAAAGAATATCAAAACAACATCCCAATCATTTATGACAGAACATTGCCTAATATAACATAAAATCATCATAAAAATAGCAAAGAAAACATAATTATGATTATTTTTTAAAGGACATCAGGTGCCAAATTTAGACCCCATGTGATCAGAGCAGTTTAAGCAGCTGAATACTCTGTGGGAGGTGAAGCCTCTCTTAGTTTGCATCCTGGGTCAACATACCTGCATCCTGACGGTAAAATAGCATTTTCAGGCCTGAGAGGGTGCAGTGGATCTGCTAAGAAACCTCAAGTAGCTACAGGAGGTGTGTAAAGATTTTGTTTTTTGATTGTCAACATGCAACTCTGTTGAGCTTCTCAGCCTCCTTACGTTCTGATAGTTATGGTTTTGCAGCACATTAAGGCCTGCGGAAGGGTGGGGGAAGAGACACCCACATGTAACATAACAATAATGGGATGACATTACTCCATTATATCTTTACATAGGAAATAGTACTTCTCTCCTTTATAAATTATCTTCATTAGAGTGTATTTTTAAAGTAACAAGGAAATTCAAAGTACTTTACAAAAGACGGACAGGCATCAGGAAAATGTATAAAATTAATACACAAAAAATCCATAGAAGATAAAAATCTGTTTAAATTAAATTGAACAGTAGAATAGAAAGTGACAGCAACAATGCAGTGTCAAACATAAAGTAAAGTCCGAAATGTAAGAAAATTAGGATCAAATGCAGTTTTAGGCCTGGATTTAAAAGAAGTGATATGTGTTGAATTCAAATGTTAACTTCATACAGTAAACATATGAACCCTGCAAAGGTTTTTATCCTGCTCTCGATTTATTAGGAACAGTTGGGGTCGAAGTTTTAAGGAATCAGACAAATACAAATATTGTATAGGTGCAGTATTCATTGGGGGACATTTACTGAGCGGTGAACAGCAGTCTATTCATACCCTTCTGATGCTCATACAGTGGATCAGTAGCACACTGCATGATGTCACTGTGGTGCCTGGTGCACACTGACCCCCATCCTCTCTCTGCACCCTGCTGCAGTAATGTTAAAGAAGATAATCCTCAGAGACAGAAGCAGAGCAGAGTGGCCGCCATGTGTGAACGGCCACATAAGCTGATCAGAGGTAGGACACTTTTTATACAACTACCTGTCTGCCTGCTGCGCTCACTGACGCACCCAGGTCAGTGAATATCTGCTGAGTTAGAATCCTCATGGTTTGTGTTGGTCAATCATTCCTCTAATTATCAAAGGAAACAATGCTTGCATTTGTTACTAGTATAGACAGTATGATACTCTGTTCAGTTTTATTATTAATTATCTTTTGTATTAAATTATACACAAATATAAGGCCATAACAAACACCATGTTCGAACATAAGGATAGGATGGGATCGTTAGGATTTTATCGTTACCGATACTGCTTATCGATACCGGTATTTTTTCGATACTCTTATCGATACTTTTCAATAATTTGGTGCTCAAAATTATAGACATGAATACAAGATGTGAAGATTAAACAATAGTCATTTTATTGTAACTTATTTTTATTTATTATTTAATGTAACTTTTTCAATGTCATACCAAGCAGGTATGAGTGTGTTTGACAGTGTGTCTCTGGAAGGGGGGCGGTAATTAGGGGCCGTTCATAAATCCATGTAAACATGACCATTATTCAGTTAAAACGAGACGCTGCGTGCACACCTCCTAAACCGGAAGCTCCGGTCGGCTAACCATTATAATCCGTTTATTATTCATAATTGTAATGATGGATTATCAGTAATCATTTCAAAGTTACACCAAGTTACATTAGATTAACCTTCAGCAGTGTTTTTATGCCCTTGAACAGAACTTTTGATCACAAAACAGCAAAGGTAAGATGTAATTATCATCATGGCTACGTAAACTGAAGATGTTTTCTTGCTCTTTCCTGGCTGCTAGTTCAGTGAGTTTTGTCGTACAGTGATGAGACTTATACCAACGGAATCTGTGGAATCTCAGCTTTCATGTCATATGTCGTTTGTGCAGATTGCATGACGTAGAAAGTATCGCTTTTGCCAGTTATGTGCTAAAGTAGCCGTTAGCCCCGTTAGCCCGTTTCGCTGAGTGTTGATTTAGACTTGGTGTTGGACTTCTGTTCCGTGTAGGTAAAAATGGTTAATATTGTCAGTTAGCTGAGTTTCTTCCCGTTAAGTGGGTATGCATCATTAATAGGTTGTTAAGAAGCCTTGAGACACTGTTTCTTGCAAGATGTTGCGTCTGCCCCCGGGAGTCTCACAATAATAAGAGCGCTGTCAGGAGAGATGACGAGTGGCATTCACAGTGGCCAATCAGATACAGATAGCAGCACCGTTTGTCCAGCGGCTTAACGGTATACCGATACCGTCCAATCGGCTACCCTAGGCAGAAGGTCCATGATCGATTTTGTTATCGTATCATCGGATCTGAGGCCGTATGTTTTGGACACTCGGGTAAAGAGAGGGGCGGAGTTGTCAACTGATCAGTGTTAATTTTGGCAGCTGTTTTTGATTTAGTCTTAGTCTTTAGACGAAAATGGTTATTCGTTTTAGTCACATTTTAGTCATTTCTATCCTTCATAGTTTTAGTCTAGTTTTAGTCGACGAAAACTCAAAACGTTTTAGTCTAGTTTTAGTCGAAATGTTTTCTCTCTTTAAACCAATTCAGTTATACAGGTTTCTGACATTGTAATCAAGGTGACAGCATCAAGTGTTGAAATTCGTAAAGCAACATTTCACTCTGTTAACACTTTACTTGTGTAATATCTAGGGATGGGTATCGTTAAGGTTTTCTACGGTACTACTAGTCTTATCGATACTGCTTATTGATCCGGTACTTTAACGGTATTCTTGTATTTACTTTTTGTTATTTTTTAAAGGGAAAAACTAACAAATTGTTAACCGAATTAATTGCTTTATTTAAATGTGAAATAAATGAAATATATATAATTATGTTAAAATATTGTACTGTACTTGAGTAAAATGTTGAGGTACTTGTACTTTACTGGAGTATTTAAATGTTTTGCTACTGTGTACTTCTTCTCCTCTTCAGTTCAGAGGTAAATGGTGTACTTTTACTCCACTACATGTATTTAATACCTTTAGTTACTTTACAGATCTGGATGAATGATGTGAAATATAATCAAGCGTTAAATCAGACTTTAGTTCCACCTGGAGTAAATTCACAAGCTACCCTGCAGTATACAAAGTCATTCAAACTAGCTGCACCTTTACCAGCTTTGAGAACACTTTAATGATCAATCATTATAAAACATATCATATATATTATTCTGAAATGGACCAATCTGCACAATGACTACTTTTACTGTCGCTACTTTAACTATATTTTGATGATCATATTTATACTAGAGGGACTCTTCCTACACTATGGTATTTTTTTACTTAACTACAAGATCTGAGTACTTCTCCCACCTCTGCACACCTGATGTGATAATGTTACTCGTAATTGGGGCAACGAGTTAAGGAAGTCGAAAATTGTGCATTTCTCTGATTGAATATGACGCCTTTTGGCCGGCTGTTTGGACAGACTACTCTACTCGTGTCAACGCGCTAACGCGAAAACACTAATGGCAAACGAGCTTTGTCCATATTGAGCCTTGTAGAGTGTCTCTATACCAGTGGCAAGCCGTGAGCTTTATACCTAGGCCCTCTAACCCCCACCCCTTCCCTCGAAAAAAGAAAAAAAAATAGTTTTACGTCACAGCGTATACTTCAGCGGAATATCAAAACAACGGCCCAGGGTGCAAAACGCATCAATGACAGCGACCCTCTACCACACAAAACAACACCTGTGAACCCAATTTGTGTTCTTTGACATTGAAAATGATATTGCATTGTGTTTGTTACTTTCGTTGCCGTTGTATGTCTTAAGTGTAATTTGGCATGCTTTTATTTTGAAGGCGAGTTCACGCTGTTGACAGGAAGTTGTTGTTGCTATGGAAACAAGAAAAGTTTCACAGCGGGCGGAACTTGTCATAATGTCCGCGATAATAAAACCCACCCATTTAGAGGGAAGATATGATTGGTCAATTGTACTGTCATTTGACATTACTCCCTCGTTCAGTTACTATAGCGGGCCCTCTGTGAATCGCAGAGAGGGCCAGGTGAGCTTCTTTCATGTAACCCCTACATTCAAACAGAGAATGAACAGGCAGATTCGAAGGATTTATTTCTTTGGAAATGTTATTTTAAATACAATTAAATCAAGTTTTTTTTCGGTAAAACTAATGAAAAATATAACAAAAATAATATTAAAAAAATATATATTTATATATACTTTTTTTTTAATGTTTTTAAATATTATTTTTTGGAATATCTTAGGCCCTCACAGAGGGCCTTGAGGGCCCTGATGGCTCGCCACTGCTCTATACTTCTGAACGCTCCGTCCCCGGCAGATCTCTGTGTGCCGCTGCAGTGTGTCTGTTAGGCCCCGCCCCCCGCACACAGAGAGACACAGGGAGATCGCTCTTCTGAAGTGAAGAGAGCGGAAATAATGATATTGCAAGTTAGAAACGTAAGATGCATTTTGACAGACAAGACGGACAATTGGGGGAAAATACCCTGCATTTTGAATGTCCGATAGTCCACCATTAACACCTTAGTCCCGTCTCGTCTCGTCAACGAAAACTAAATATACATTTCGTCAAAGTTTTCGTTATCAAGAGTCTATTTTTAGCTCGTCATCGTCTCGTCTTAGTCATGTAAAAAAGGTCGTTGACGAACATTTTTCGTCATAGTTTTCGTTGACGAAATTAACACTGCAACTGATCACCATTTGGTAGTGAGTTAGGTCGTGTGGTGGGGGAAGCCTCTGGACAGACCTGGTAAACCCAAACGTGTAGTGCAGGTGAACTGGGAACGTCTGAAGGAGTCCCAAGTCCAGGAGGCCTTCAACTCACACCTGAGGTAACTGAGGTAGTCAAACAACTCCACAGTGGCAAAGCCCCAGAAATGCTGAAGGCTCTGGGTGTTGAGGGACTGTCATGGTTGACACGTTCATCAACATTGCGTGGAAGTCGGAAACAGTACTGAAGAAGTGGCAGACCGGGGTGGTGGTTCCCCTTTTCAAAAAGGGGGATCAGAGGGTGTGTGCCGATTATAAAGGCATCACACTACTCAGCCTTCCCGGGAAAGGTTTCTCTAAGGTACTCGAAAGGAGGGTCAGGCCGATAGTCGAACCTCAGATTGAGGAGGAACAATGCGGATTCCGTCCTGGTCATGGAACGACGGATCAGCTTTTTACTCTCGCAAGGATCCTGGAGGGGGCCTGGGCAAGGGCGCCGGAAGCGGGGGGGCCAGGGGGCCATTGGCCCCCCCACTTTTCAGCCCTGCCCCACATTTTCGCAGCGGCGGATGCCGTGGAACACTGTACAAATCCCGTTTCAATAATTCCCCTCTACTCTAAAGTCGCATCTAAAACGCGATCTGATATAGCTGTGTATATTTTGTTATGTTTGATTGTTATATTCAATCTCATTAGCTACAGGCATTTTTTAAGCTTGTAAAGCTCTCACTCGCCACTCTGCTGTTCCACAGCGCCGCTTCCCCTCCCTCTGCTGAAATTATGAATGTAAGGCGTATAGTAATCATAGATAACACGGCAGGGTCCGTTACAGTTTGTTTTTATCTGATTTCAAATAAACAAAGTCTTGGCTTTCAGAATATTAAACTTGTTTTGGCAAATTCAGATGATAAATACAACTTTGAAGCTTGTAACGGCATAATTACAAGCAACGGAGTAACTTTACGTCACTGCAGGCATAACAGCAGCCGGTGTTTCTCGTGAGTGTTTTCCCCGGGAAACAAACACAATACACACAAACGCAAAAATACACAAACACACACGTATATACACACACACACTCGCGGGCTTCCCCTATCTTCCCTTCGTACTATTTTGATCATTTGCTCCGCTAATAATCAATCAGATCGATCCAGAGAAGAGGAAACTTTAAAGGCCTTTTTCTCAAAATGATGACTCTGTAACAGTCATTATATAATGTGACATATTTTGCTTCATATTTGGAGTAGCCTACAACAACAATCCTGATATCATTAGAAAGCTAGGAATCTCCTCTTTCCAACAGTGT